AGTATATGTTTACGCTATGTGATTGCTAACAGTTTTATGTTAAAGGATTTGAGCACCCACAACTTTTAAATCATGGATCCACCACTTGTTTGATTATATTGCAATTCCTATCATCAGCTCTGCCCATTAGGATGAGGTCGTCAACGAAGAATATATGAGATAAATAGGGCCCTTTTCTAGTAGTAATTCTTATGGGTGTCCAATATTTCTGTGACACTTCACTTTCTATTCTTTGCGACAACATTTCCATGCATAATATGAAGATGTAGGGGATATTGGGTCACCTTGTCTTATGCCTCGTGATGGTTCGAAAAAGTTTGTGCGTTCACCATTAACTAGAATGGCTATACTTCTCGTGGTGATACAAGACGTAATTAGATTAATAAAGTTGTGTGGGAACCCAAAGTAGATAATGGTGTTTCGTATAAAGGACCATTCGATCCTATCAAAAGCTTTTTCCAGGTCGATTTTTAGCATCATGTTTCCATTTCCCCCCTTCATTTTCTGGAAATGAGAGATAGTTTCATGCACTATTATTGCGTTGTCCGTAGCTTGCCTGTTTTATAGGAAGCTCGCTTAAGCATGGACCTATCAACTTATTCATAATAGGTTTTAGCCTGTTAGATATAATTTTAGTGATTATTTTATAATTTGTACCACACAGGCTTATAAGTCTAAATCTCGGAGATTATTGGCCCCCGTTTTTTTTTTGGTACAAGGCAAACATGAGTTCTATTGATTTCCTTTGGTATTCGCTCATTCTTAAAAAGGGGTTAACATAGAGTGCTACGACTGATTCCCCTACTATACTCCAATAATTTTGATAGAAATAGGGGTGAAATCCATCCGGACCAGGAGCTTTATAAGGTTGAAAGGAGTTTACTGCTTGGAGTATCTCTTTTTTCAGAAGGAACATTACCTAAGTCCTCTAGATCAGAGCTGATATGGATATTTTTGGGGTTCCCATTGCCTGTGGTCAAGAGATTTTGGGTTGTGCGGAATAAGTTGGCAAAGTAAATGGTAGCGATGTTTTTAATGCCCTCTTGTTCGTATACTCATTCTCTCTCTGAATTTTGTAGTGAGACAGTTTTATTATATTCCTTCTTCTTCTATTTAAGGTTGTTGTGTGGAAGAACCAAAAGTCTTCTTCCAGACGGAGGATGTAGTTAAAGTCCTTTATTAGGTTTTCTTCGAGTTTCTGTAGAAAATAGCTGAATGTGTATTGAGGCGACTTCTGGATCCCTTCTAGTCTTCTTATGATTCTCTTTTTTTTTTTCCAGAAGATATTACCAATGTGATATTATTCCATATTGTAACTTTATTGGTGAAGTTTGGTATTGCTTTTAAGATGTCCCTTTCTTCATTCCAGCTTTGTAGTATGATTGATCATGCACTGCTTCTCCTTGACCCGGCAATGTATTGCACTTCAAAAGAAAAAAAAGTATTTTGGTTTGTGTGGCTTCCATTTTCCACTAAATCATGTTCCCAAAGTGGATCTTAAATTCTCATTATCTTATTTAATGTATTTTATTTTTATTTTTTATTATATTAAAAATATATATTTATTTTATTCAGATAATTTGAAAATTAAGAGATAATTTATTATTTTATATTTATTTTATTTTCTTATTAAATTCTATTTATTTTCTATAATTTTTATTACAATTAAAAATGATATAATTTTATTTAATTTTTAAGAGGCGTGTCAAGTCAACCATAGACACTAAACATGAATGGAGAAGTAATAGTTTAATTAATTAAATGAATGTTGATACACCACACGCATCATTAAATATTAGGTAGCGTTTGGCCACAATTTCTTAAAAAAATTGGCAAGTCATTTTTATGTGAAGTTTCGATTATGCGTTTGACCATAGATATTGAAAGAAATATTAGGCTTTTTAATGGAGCGGTATGAAATTATCCTACAGTGTAACGGACCAAGTCGTCATGTATCTCTGCTTTAGCACTCCTTCCTGCTGCCTAACTGCATTTGCTGTGACCAACACATTATATTCATACAAATGCCCTACCAAGTTAAAAGTTGATTAGACCATGCATATTCTGGCAGCGCACACACATTTTTAGAAAAACAAGTGATCAATATGTACTGTCCATTAAAAGATTCTATATTGAAATCAAAATCAAAATTAAAGGAGATGTGATTGATCATTGAACAGTCTTCATTTGCATAGTCTACCAATGTTAAGGTGAAAGTCCATTTTGAGTATGTACCTTGTATTGACTATTGTTACATATCAATCTTCTCCACTCTACCTTCTGAATATATATATATATATATATATATATCCTATGTACAACATTTCAATGGGGAAATTATTCATGTGAATGACAAGTGTATTATAGTTGTATCCAATCTTCTCAAGGTGAGATTTACCCTTGAATATATTTCTTACTCCCTCCGTCCTGTTTTACTAGAAAAATATAAATAAAAGAAAAAAAAATGACTAAATTTTTAAAAAATCGATCAACTTATGATTTAAGAGAAATCAAATTTCCAAAAGAACAGAGTCGCCACTTAATTTTTTTAATAAAATCAAGAAAACTATTTATTTTCAAATAGATCAAAACAGTAAATCTATTGAAAACTATTAAGGGGGTTCGAGGTTCATATTAACATTTCGGAAAGGGTTTGAAAGCATCCGAAATGCCTGCTCACACACGGTTATTCGATAACTAACTATTTGGCTAATTTTTTAACTTAACTCAAAAGGCAAAATTGGACTATTTTATAGTTAAGACTATTTTAAAAGGGAAAATGGGGAGTATTGGGATATTATTTAAGTTAAACGCTTTGGTAGATTATGTTTTAATATTATAGGAGGCGAGTATTTTAATTAGTTAATTTTTAAGAGATTAGTTCAGAATGACCATCTTTCGGGAAATTAAATTGTGGTAACCTTAAGACTAACAACGAATAATGACAGGTAAACAAATAAATGATAAAGTAGAGAAGGAAATTTGGACCCAGGTCTGGTTTCCTGTCCGTCTGGGCCAGTACTTGGGCCTAATCTCGTTTTGGGCTTTTGACTCAATTACAATACAACACAAAAACTGAAATTTTAGGACTTTGGGCCCATTTCTCCTGCTTTTTACAGTGTATACAACTGTTGTATATCGGTTGTATCACGCTGTATATCAGCGCGTTTTCAGCTCTCGGGACCTGTGATTTTGCTTCTAAACCCATATTTCTGCTCCCCTTGATCGAATATGGGTGAGGCTGACTTGAGACAACTCAAGGATATGCAGGAGAAGACCAAAATGGACTCGGATGGAATTTTCACATGCAAATAAAGAGTAAAAAAGATTAGTATCCACACTTGAGACTATTCCACAAGAAAAACACCTTTAGTAAAAAATACGATAAATAAGACATAGCTAAAGAGAATATCAGCATATACAATTGGGAAATGGAACATACATCCACATATGCAAATATAGGCCAACCAGTAAAAGCATATGAACACTAATTCAGGTATCATTCTTTCAACAAAACTAAAGGCAATAGAGAAAATAACAAGAAGTGTTAGGAGCTTTTCTCCAAGTTTGATTGGTTTTAGAGAAAGTTTCCAAACAAGATTTACATCTACAATATAAGAAGAACAAACTAATTATAAACTAGTATTAAATAGTCATATTATCAAACCCAAAACAACCTTTTCCCTCTAGTTTAAGGATAATTAGTCCAATTATAAACGAATGCAAAGTAAGCTAAGCCATTGTATTATAATCCAAACAAATGAGCTACTGTTACTTCATCCAACTTCATAAACATCATACCAATCATAAAACACGACCTCATCTTAAAGTGATACGCTTAACGATTTCAGAATAAACGAGATATTTGGAGCAAAATCTCAACACAACTCATTAATACTTCACGAGGTGATCTGAAACTCCGGGAAGGATAAATGAACCGAATAAGATCGCATAATATTTGAACTCAAACTCATCTTTATACAAATCTCTTATTTAAACCAGAAAAGTATACGTCCTAAATGCCTTCATAGTAAAATGTTAACAATCATATATAAGAGACTTACTATTATTGATATGAAATTTTCCAGATTCTCAAGTGTTAGACACTCCAAGCAAAGGAAAATATTACCGAGACAAATAAGCTACGCTACTGATTAACAAAGCAAAGAAGGAATAATCGAGAATCAATTTTAAATTCGGGTTTCAGTCCATTCATAGCAACAACTAATAACCCAAAATAAATGACAAACATTACTCTACTAGAACCCCAAGTTAGGCAAGATTGGAATGTGAATAAAAAATAATAATAAATAAATAAATAAAAATATATAAAAAAATTAGGCATATGAATCTAACAAAGTTAAGCTAATCTACAACATAAAAGAACCTAAAATAAAAATGGGAATGGAGGATTACCCTTTTAAGTGCAGCGATTGGGACAAGGAGTAGAGAAGCTTTTCCGCCTTCACCACAAAATGAGCTTTGGGAATACCGAGAAGCTCTAGTTAAGATTATAATCATATAGTTAAGATTTAATTATTAAAGTAAAATCTTAATCATGGTATCTTACTTTAGTTAATATATCTTAATTATTATTAATTTTATGCGTCTCTCGAACTTGAAAAAAATGGAGACAATTATAAAAATAGAAAGGAGGCAAAGTCCTATTTGAGCAACTTGTTAATCAAAAGGATTTTATCTCCCAAATATGCTTTTGTACCTATTATTCTTCATGTCTTAGTTCATGTGACACACTTATTTTTTTAATATAACTCAAAAAAGTGACCATCAGATTCAAAACATGTTTTTATTTTGATAAACATGGTGTCCGTCCAAATTTAAATGAATTGAGTAATTATGATTTAGCGGACTAACTTTGCACCTCTCTCTATATAAATATTACTACTTATTAGTGCTCTCCCAACAATTGAATTACTCCATATATAATTTTGTAAATGCTAAATTATATTAGTAGAAGAAGTTGTTTTGTTTGTTTAGGTATGGAAGCTCCACCATTATCGTCCGGTGACGGCGAAGCACAGTTACCAAGAAGAACCGGAGGCTGGATCACCTTCCCCTTCATCATAGGTCTCATATATATTTGTGTGCCCATCCATGATATGAAATGTGTATTAATTATTAATTTTACCATGATTTATATGTATAATATGCAGCAACATCAACATGTTTGACACTAGCATTTGGAGGTTGGACAAGCAACCTAATTGTGTATCTCATAAAAGAATTTGATGTGGAGAGTATTGATGCTGCTCAAATATCAAATTTGGTTAATGGTGCTGGAAGCTTAATTCCTATTTTTGCTGCAATTATTGCTGACTCTTTTCTTGGTTGCTTCTCTATCATCTGGATTTCATCCTTCATCTCATTATTGGTACAAACTAATCTTGTTTTGTTTCACCCTAATATAATGAGTCTACGGTCTATCCTTTCCAGGCTTCACTTTGTAGGACAACACTAAATATATTATTGTGGTACCCATGAGTCATGTATGTACTCTCTATCCAATTTATATGGCACAGTGGTGTTTTTGTGATTTAATTGTGTTTCCTATTATAGAAGGTTCAAGTTTTTCTGAAATAAATTTATATATTTGAAAACTATCTAAAAGTATTAATTCAAAGGCATATATATAAGGAGATTCCAGTAAAAAAAAAATGATAAAATTGTTTGATTTTTAAAATTTAAAATATGTCACATAAATTAAAACAGAGGAAATAGTAGTAATACACATTCCTAAGAGATTGCTTTGTCGCTTGTACGTGTAGGGCACAATCCTTTTAGCTTTAACAGCGACGCTTGATTCTCTGAGGCCTAAACCTTGTGAAGTTGGTTCAACTTCATGTACCCCTAAACCAAAAGTTCAATATGTAGTACTCTATGCAGCCATTGTTCTGGCGACTCTGGGGAATGGCGGTCTCCGATCAACCCTTTCAACAATGGGAGCCAACCAATTTGATAAACAAAAAGATGAAGGAATTTTCTTCAATTGGTTCTTTTTCTTTACTTATGGTGCATCTGTAGTAGCATCAACAGCTATTGTGTATGTTGAAGATAACGTAAGCTGGAAAGCTGGATTTATCATTTGTGTTGCAGCTAATTTACTTGGTTCAGCCATTTTTCTATTGGGGACCAGATTTTACAACAATTCTAAGCCAGAAGGGAGTCCTTTCACCAACTTGGCTCGTGTTGTGGTTGCAAGTATTAGGAAAAGAAAAGTGACAATCCCATCCACTGGAGAACATTTATACCACGGACCTAAAGCAATAGTTGTTGCGCCTTCAAAAACCTTCCGGTAATACTTTATAACTATTACACCAATCTCGTATAAAAGTTTAAATCGTTAATTCTTTTGTTTACGGTAAAACACGTGATTTTTTTTTACATTATGAATGTTGGTGAGACCATATATATTAGTTGAAGTTTTGAGGTGTTTCACACCCTTTAAGAAAAGTAGATTAAGACATAAATTAAACATAGTTTTCCATTTTTACCCTTATTAATTTTTGTCAAATTTATTGAAGTCATCACATTGAAAATTCAAATGAATGACACTCTAAAAGTAGTCTTGAAAACTGAACAATTAAGTTAATTTGAAAAATAAAAAATGCCTCAAAAATTCAATTAATATGGAATGGAGGGAGTACTTAATTGAATAACCATTTCAATATTAAAGAGAATACAGTGTTATTGATTCAATTAAAAGGGGAAACTTATATAAATTTTAGTATTAATTTATGAGCTAATAATTACTTAGATATACTCTAGTTTGCAATATTATGTATCTTACCGGATTTTGATGCCTTCAGATTCGTCCAGATACATGTATCTCGTATATATGGAGGTCAAATTTAGGTGTAATTGTTCTAGATACATTGTATCCAAGTGGTTTAGCATGTATTTGTGATACATAACAAATCTCGCTCGTCTACCTCGCCTCTCTCCCATCTTGTTTGCCACTCTCCCATGTATTTGGTATCCCAGATACATGCGAATCACTCCAGATATATGTATCTAGTGTGATTCACAATACATACAAATCTCGCTCACCTCCCTCTCCAATATCGATTGCCTCTCTCCCTATTTTTATGTAACTGACAGTAAAATTACAGGTACCTAACCAAGTGTAAGATACGTAGAAAACTCTTAATTAGTGATAAAATATGTAATATTTTAAAAGTATAGGTAATAATAGTATTTATGATAGTGAACATGTCCAATTATATAGTTTTTCCATATAATCTGCGACAGTAACGTCACTCTTGAGTGTTTACGTATGTCTTTGACCACGTGCTTGGGACATCCCTTGTCGCTTAATTATGATTAATTTGCATCACTAATGTTTGTTTTATATTGTCTCAAATCTCAATGATGAATTACTATTAAGTAAATCTTGATATTAGTACTGTCATGGAGCACTATATAATATAAATATGTTATTGGTACTAATAAATATTTAAAAACAGTCTTTAAGTACTAGGAATGTTATAATTATATACTATTTCGACGATGACTTTCTTAAGGCTGGTAGGTGATTTTTAAAATAAAAGTATCAGAGATTTCACGCCTACTCATTAGGTGTGCTTTTTTACTCACTTAGGTTCAAATTGATCTTTTTATTTTGGGGGGTTTACACTGATATTACTATTTTGTCGGCGGATAGCGATGATGACGCTCAAATTTTAATATTTATGTATAGTGCATGTATAATTAGTACTTATAAAATATACATTATGCGTACATATTTTGTAAAACAGATATAGGAATGTAATTTTTCCTTTGATAATATTAGTTTGTTTGTTTTCTTACGATGCAGGTTTTTGAACCGTGCAGCCATTAAAAGTGAAGGCGATGTTAAACCGGATGGCTCAACAACTAAGCCATGGAAACTTTGTTCAGTACAAGAAATAGAAGATTTCAAATCCTTAATCAAAATTTTACCACTCTGGTCAAGTAGTTTTTTTCTTGGCACAACAATTGGCGTACAAGCAAGTTTGTCAATCCTTCAAGCCTTAGCAATGGATCGTCACATAGGCCCCAATTTCCAAATCCCAGCTGGTTCTATATTGGTTTTTGTCACGGTCTCTACTGCTCTATTCCTCGCCCTGTTCGACAAATTTCTATTTCCTACGTGGAAAAAAATGACTGGCAAATCACTTACGCCTCTCCAAAGAATTGGGGTTGGGCACGTTCTCAACTTTTTGTGTATGGGTGTCTCTGCCTTAGTTGAGTCAAAGAGGCTAAATGTAGCAAAATCAAATGAAGGTTCCAATATTGTGCCTATGTCAGTGTTATGGCTTGTGCCACAATTAGCCATCGTTGGTATTTCATTTTCCTGGACAAGTCGCGTTCTATTACCAGGAATTTCCAATAACCTTAAAGAACATGGCGACGGCGATGATTTCAGTGGTTGTAGGGGTGTCATTTTACTTGACCACTGCTTTAATTGATGTTGTTAGAACGACAAGTACATGGTTACCCGGTAACATAAATAATGGAAGGCTGGACAATGTGTACTGGATATTAGTTGTAGGGGGAGTAGTGAACTTTGGTTATTATGTAACATGTGCTTGGTTTTACAAGTATAAAAACATGAAGGAAGTGGTGGACCATAGTGATTCTCCTTCTCATGAGTGATTAATGGGTCCAAAAGAAAAGAAAATGTATGCTCGTGATTATCGGCCATGAAAATAACAAAAGTATTGTACCTAGCTATCTATGTAACTTTTAAGTGTATGGCATGAGTATTTGTGATTATATAGATTACAAATTAGTGCGTAGTTCATTTTTATTTTTATTTTTTTGTAGTAAATGGCTAAAAATACTCCTTTACAAAGTATGAGAAAAATGACTAGTGATGATTTTTATCACACTGACATAGTGAGGTGGCAGACAATGCAATAGTTGTCGCCACTTCAAAAACACTCATTTACTTTTTGATTTTGAAGTAATACTACTTTCTTTTAACCACAATAATGTTTCTTCCCATTTATCGAATAAAAGTAGAAATTGAAATAAATAATTAATTATATCTTAATTTTTTTAAATGACAATTATTTTAAATTGTCCAGTTTTAATAAGTATAACAAGTAAAATGGTACGATGGAGGAGTATTTTGAAAGAGAGTGTTGTGAATTTAGTAGACTTTTTACGGGCTTATGTGTTAGAAGTGGTGAATGGGGCTGATTTAGATGGAATTATTGGACCGAGTAAAATACTAGAGGGTTTTATTTGAGATCCAGGCCCAATTATCAATAGTTAAATAGGAATAGGGATTAGACAGAAGAGTTACGCGTATTATGAAGAAACCGTTTGTTCCTCTCATCTTCTTTCTAAAGTCTTAACTTCTCATTCCCATTCTTATCTCTATCTCTAGTTACTTGATATTTCAGTACTTCTCCTTGTAATTCAAGTGTTGTTATTGTAATTTGGCTATCTTATTATATAATGTTTGGATATTTGTGTTGAGAATTCGAGTTTGTTTCATTGGTGCTTTCATCCAGAGGTATCTCTAATGGAAGACCATAGAGTACTCAAGGCTTCTGTTGATGATTCAATTCGTGATTCAATACAAGAGATGAATGATTCTATCCGTAAGGATCTCACTGAATTTCGTTTGATGTTGCTGGAGGTTTTGGGGGGAAAGGCTATGACCTCTTTTGAACCCCAAAATACAGTTACGAACACCAAATTATGGCAGTTTAGAGGCAAGAATCCGGAGGCTTGGATAGTTCAAGCGGAGCATTATTTTGATTTCTATAAAATTGAGAAAGATGAGAAGCTTAATGTGGCGTCGTTCTACCTTGACGATGAAGCATTGAAATGGTACCAATGGCTATTTCAGAATAATCAATTAATTGATTGGCTGCATTTCGCTGATAAGGTGAGAATTCGATTTAAATAGAAAGAATACGAGTTCACAGAAGGGAGATTCACCAATCTCGAACAGTTACCATATGTAATTGAGTACCAAAATTGTTGTGAGGATAGATTCGGTGAGTCAGATGTACTATTCCCAGGCCGTACATATGTCCATCCACGATGGAGCAACATGACTAACTCACTTTTATCGCAACATCACGGTGAACAATCGGGATGCAAAAGCAATACCAATGCGCGCAAGGTATTTGGTGAATCGTCTGATAGGCACAAAGATGCACATTCTCTCGGTACATCTAGCAAGCCTATTGAACTTTTCATTCCCCCTAATGATCTGGTAAGTTCTATCTCTAAGCTAAATAGTTGTGGTGATGATGTTAAAAATGAAGACAAGAATGATGAAGAAGAAATTGTTTCCATCATAAACAAACCTATAGAACTTGTGATTGCAAATGCAGATAAGCATTCATTCTGAATTAATTTTATAGTATCTACTCCTTGTAACCTTTCCATTTTTTATATTCATAAAGCTTTGGATGATCGCTGGAATCAATTATTTGCTTACCCTTTCGGGCTTGCTCTACGTTGGGAGGTGATGCCTTCTATTCCTTCCATTTTCCATCATGCCATGCTTATGAGTAAAGTTACTAATGATGGTCGGGACTATGTTGGCTGCTATATTATTTTTTCCTTGGACATGTGTCCTGAACTTGTTGAATGTGATGGTTATGACCTTAAATGTTTGGTTTCTTGAAGCAATTTAGTTGGAAATAAGATAATTTTACATGTATGGGATCCTGGAATACATCGGCAGCTTGTGAAGTTAAACCATTTGAATAGTGGCATTTTGTTTCACACCCAAACTCAAGATATTCTTGCGAATGCAAAGCAACTTAAGAGACCAGTTTGTGCACTAATTGTGCATCAAGGAGAATCTTTCCTTGTTGGCGGTGGAATTGAGAAGAGAGTGGTGCGACGTTGGAATTCTCAGAAATTAGATCACCAATAAATATTTGAAATCGTAAGACAAAAGCATGAGCCTGTTCTTGCAAGGTGGACAACAGAGCGATGTGGTATATATAGATGGGTTGAGGATTTGGACGATAACAATAAAATCAAATGCAGCATGTGTCATATAATTGTGCATCAAGATTTTCATGGACTGAGCAATATTCAGAACCTTGTTTCATGTTTCTATCCAACATGTGCAAAGCTTGAATTTAAAAAAAATTATTTCTTTTATCCAACCCCATGTGGTATATTAATGGCAAGTGCTAATGCCTTTGTCTGGACATATATTACATTTGCACGGTCTCATCTTGAAGTTGCTTATCATAATGTGGATACAATATTGAACCACATTAACCGGTACATCAGTGTATTGACTAAAAACAAAATGGAAGCAACATTGTCATTGGAATTTCCTTCAGTCTGTATTGATGTATTTTCACCTTATACTGTAATATTTAGCAATGCAAATGTTGCTGAGAATGCCACGTTTGATATTACCTTAGTCAGGTGGCTATTAATATATTCCCTCCAAAGGAATGCCCGGGAAGACAAAGAAGACAGAATACTTGTTAAAGCAACTCCTAACATATATCCAAGTCTTAACAAGTTCGCTGCTATGATATCCATATTGTTCTATCCGAACCTTGAGGACAAGGTTCTTATTCAGGATGGGGGTATTGTTGTGAATCAAGTAGACTTTGTACTGACTTATGTGTTAGAAGTGGTGAATGGGGCTGATTTAGATAGAATTATTGGACCGAGTAAAATACTAGAGGGTTTTATTTGGGATCCAGGCCCAATTATCAATAGTTAAATAGGAATAGGGATTAGACATAAGAGTTATGCGTATTATGAAGAAACCGTTTGTTCCTCTCATCTTCTTTCTAAAGTCTTAACTTTTCATTCCCATTCTTATCTCTATCTCTAGTTTCTCGATATTTCAGTACTTCTCCTTGTAATTCAAGTGTTGTTATTGTAATTTGGCTATCTTATTATATAATGTTTGGATATTTGTGTTGAGAATTCGAGTTTGTTTCAGAGAGGAAGCACCTCTCTTGTTTTTTACTTCTTTGACCTGGATCTTGGAGCATCCCTTGTGGCTTAATCGTGGTTTATTTACATCATTTTGTCTTAATTATTTGTTATTAGATTGCATGCCCACTAAGGTGTTGGGTTGTGCTTCCCCCCCCCCCCCCCCCCTCCCCCATGATCTTTTATTGAGTTACATAATTAAACTTATTATATTGTTAGATATGGCTGGGATAATTTGTATTAAAACGAGCTACATAATGAATCAGAACTCAACCCACCTAACATTTACCAAATTTTACTTTCTTGCTTACGTTTTTATAATTTGTTTAAGGATAAATTATCTATATACACATCTTTTTTTTCTATAATTTCCATTATTCCCTACCAATTCTAAAATTTTCCAGAATTCCTTATTTTACTTCCAAACCCCCAAAAGTTGGATACATAAATTCTAACTCTCAAAACCAACATTTATCCCTTCCTTATTTCACTTCACAAATCTCTCCTTATTTTTAGTCACAGAATCTTGGTAGTTATTTTCTCATTCACATTTGAAATTCAAAATCAGTCTCTTTTCCGTAGGTTAAGGATAGTTTTAGATAAAAAAATTTAAAAAGAATATTTATGAGTCTTTTACCTATTTTTTAAAATACTCCAAATTTATAATAAAATAAACTATGTGAACTTCAATTTTTTAAACGTAAATTAGGGGAAAAAAAAAAAGTAGTAGTAGTTGTTATTATTTGTTAATAATTAATATAATATTTGTACAAGTTTTTGCCTTTTCTGTCATCTTTTCTTTTTATTTTGTCTTTTTCCTTTTTTTCTTTTTTTGGTTTAGTAGTTGTTTTGTTTTTCTATTGTTTCCAAATCACTGTTGGGTTTGGTATTTGTATTTGATTTCTTTATTTTTGGTTAATAAAACTCACCTCGGGTGTTTGATTAAAAAGAGAATATAATATTTGTAAATTTTTCATAATTTGAGTTGGTTATGGACTCTAACAACTAATCATTCATTGAAACTAATTAGGATTTTTGTATTATTATTTAATCTTTTAATTTTCTCATAATAATATTAGTTTCAATTTCACCAAAATTTCATACAGTCTAATATTTTCCTCTTTTTTCCTGGTGTTTTCAATAATCAATTTTCTTTAATGGATTGTGTTTGTTCATGTATCTAATTGATAACTTAATTCATATTTATTGTGATACATTTATAGATACACTTTATTCCAGCTTACATACATCCTTCTTTCACAACCTTATTGTATCAGATACATTATATCAACTATAAAATGATACATTATATAAGTTATAAATATTTTTCCAGGCAAACAATAAAATACTTATCAATTTAAACGAGATACATAAATAGTAATGTGTCATGCACTAATTTTTTAGCTATGATACATAAATTTGAATTTATACTAAATGTATCAATTACATAGCAATTGTCACACGGTAATGTATCGATCTCAAATCTAATATCTTATGGACAACAATTACTTATTTAATGTATCTAATATAAATACAATACTTATCAATTTAAACAATATACATAAATAGTAATGTATCATGCACTAATTTTTTAGATATGATACGTAAATTCGAATTTATACTAAATGTATCAATTACATAGCAACTACCACACAGTAATGTATCGATATCAAATCTAACATCTTATGGACAATAATTATTTATTTAATGTATCTAGTATAAATACAA